GTCGGCACCCTTGGGCGGTGGGTGCTATTATTAGCAGTTAAGGGACCTAGCGTCAGGAACACGGTGACTTTCTAAGGGTCACAGCCAGAAAGTGTCTGAGGCAAGATTTGAACCCAAGTCTTCCAGCACAGCCTCGCCACAGCGTGGCATCCCTTGCCCATTCCCAGAACAGGTGGGATTGTAGTGAGTGTTTCCCAAGGCCTTTGCTAAAAAAGCCTGATCTAGGGGCGCCTGTCAAGCCCCCCCGGAGCAGAAGCCAGCTACTTTCTACTGTGGGCCCCAGCACCAGGAAGGAGCTTCCAGACACGGCGTGCTTCCTGCTTGGCATGAAAAGGCATCATTGGCACCGGCCTCACTGAGGCCGGCCCCTCTTTTTCCCACAGGCTAGAGGGCTGTGGTGTCACCTCTGCTAATTGCAAGGACCTCAGCATGGTCTTGCAAACCAAAGAATCCCTGCAGGAGCTGTGCCTGGGAGAAAACAAGATTGGAGATGCAGGGTTGGACCAGCTGTGCCAGGGGATCCTGAGCCCAGCCTGCAACCTGAAGACCTTGTGGTGAGTAGGCCTGGGCCTGGGCTTTAGTTCTTCCTGAAGTGATAAGCCCTAGAGAATTTACAGACTGGCCTGGAGGCAGCCTTAGCCAGAGGCTATCCCCAGCAGCTGTTGTAGAAGCCAGGGTCCTCAGGGAGCTTTCTGCACACCTCCTGAGCTGCAAGGAGGTTTCCTTCTATTGTAAATACTGGCAGTAGGAATCCTTGATCAAGAACCTGGGAGAATGGGAGAATGTGGGTAGGAGGTGAGGGGTTTATAGTACTTGAGGGAACATTAAGGGGCCATGCCCAGTTCCACCGGGAAACTAGAAGAGTGGCCTCCTAGGGCCAGACAGAACCTTTGGGAAAAGATCTGAGTGTCTGAGTAGCCCACAAGCCTAATGAGCATTGGCAGAAAGCCGATGGGCTCTCAGGGCGTAGTCAGTCAGCAAACATTTATGAGGCACCTACTGTATGCCAGGCATTGCGCTAAGCATACAGAGTTACCAGGACTAGGCAGATCCTCTTCCTCTTGCTGCTTTGACCCCATCTGGAGGAGGAGCCAGAGGACAGCAATCGGAGTGGTAAAGGGCAGGGAGAGGTGGAAGTCCCTGGAGGTGTTCAGGGACCTCCCCCAAGGGGCGGGACTGTCTCCTTCCTGGAGGGCCACACCCTCCAGGAATCCGTGCTTCTGTGCCTGCAGGCTGTGGGAGTGTGACATCACAGCTAAGGGCTGCAGGGCCCTTGCGCAGGTCCTGAAGAGCAAACCCTGTTTGACAAAGCTGAGTCTGATCTGTAACCAGCTGGGTGATGAAGGGGCCGAGCCGCTGTGCCAGGCGCTGCTGGACCCTGGGTGCCAGCTGGAGGAGTTGTGGTGAGTGCCCCCCCCCCCAGCCGGCAGCCCCTGCCCCAGGCCAGGCAGTGGCCCCCAGGTGCCTCAGTGAGCCCCTCTCCCACAGGCTGAGGACGTGTGGCTTCACGGTGGCCAGCTGCAGCAGCTTTTGCACTGTGCTGGAAAAGAATCGGACCCTGAAGGAGCTTCAGCTGAGCACCAATACTTTGGCAGACGCAGGTGTCAAACAAATGAGCAAGGGGCTTCTGCACCCTGACTGCCCTGTCCAGAGTCTCTGGTGAGACCCCATGCACTGGCCCGTGGGGAGGAAGGCTTGAGCACCCAGTGCCCTAGAACCTCCAGGAAATGGGTAGTAGGGGGCACCACAGTGGATAAAGTGCCTCCAGGCCCAGCTCAAGTCAGCAAGACTCATCTTCCTGAGTTCAAATCTGGCCTCAGACGTGTCCCAGCTGTATGACTTTGGGCAAGTCACTTTGCCCTGTTTGCCTGTTTCCTCATGTGTAAAATGAGTTGGAGAAGGAAATGGCAAAGCCCTCTAGTATCTCTGCCCAGAAAAGCCCAGACAGGTCGGGAAGGATCACCCTGAACCCTTCCCACTGCGCTAGGATGAAACAGGCCCTGCCTGCCATGAGCTCAGAGAAGGCAGATAAACAGAGGGAAGGAAGACTTGCAGCTCAGCACGCTGGGAAGGGCCTCTTTCAGAAGGCGCCTCTTGAGCTGAATCTTTAAGGAAATAAGTGATTTCTAGAGAGGGAGGGAAGGGACGGGGTTTCTGGCATAAGGGACATCCTGGGCAAAGGTGTGGAGAGGAGGAACGAGAAGGCTAGTTGGGCTGCACTATAGAGTGCCTAGAGAAGCCCAGATGGGGTCCCAAATCCAGCGACAAAGGAAGCGGCTGAATCTTGTTAAGCAGGGGAGTGTGTGGTCAGACAGAGGGGTCAGGAGGAAGCTGAGGGCCTAGTGGGGGCAGGGAATAGGAGTGGGAAGGGCTGGCAGCTGATGGGAGAGGGTGGTGCGGTTGGTGCCAGCAGGGAAGCAGCTGCGGGTGGGAAGCAGTGGGGAGAAGGGCTCCCTCTTGGTAGGAGGGGAGGAGAGGGAGGCCCTAGGCGTCTCTGGCCCCTGATGTGGCTGTGGCTTCCCAGGCTGGGTGATTGTGAACTCTCGGATGAGTGCTGTGGGACCCTGGCATCCATCCTCCTCACCAACCACACCCTGAAGGAGCTGGACCTCAGCAACAACGGCAGGATTGGCGACCAGGGCATCAGGCAGCTGATGGCCAGCCTCAAGGAGCCCAGCTGTACCTTGGAGCAGCTGGTGTGAGTGCTCTGGGGAGCAGGCGCCCTGGGCATCACACATCTGGTGCCAGGGCTGGGGGGGGCGGGCCCCAGGGGAGAGGGGGGCACCCTGGGTATCACAGGCTGGTGCCAGGGCTGGAGGGGGGCCCTGGGCATCACATGGCTGGTGCCAGGGCTGGAGGGGGGCGGGCCCCAGGGGAGAGGGGGCACCCTGGGTATCACAGGCTGGTGCCAGGGCTGGAGGGGGGCACCACACCAGGGGGGAGGGGGCCCTGGACATCACGCAGCTGGTGGTCAGTCACAGGCAGCTCGCCGGCAGCCTGGTGGAGGAGCCGCCTGGCGCCTGATCCTTCTTCTCACCTCCCCCTCAGCCTGTTTGACATTTACTGGACAGAGGAGGTGGACAACGAACTGAAGACCCTGCAGGAGGCCAAACCCAGCCTCCGCATCACGTCGTGAGGGAGGGGCCAAGTGGCCTCTCCAGCTTCTCACCCTGCCTACCAACCCTCTGCTGTAGGGCCAGGAGGAGGGCCTTGGGGGCGGGATGGGGGGCTCCTGCTTGTCTAATCTTCGGACTCTCTGTGAGCTACGGTTTTAATGGCTGCCTCCTCGAGGCCCCAGCACTTTAAACCTCTTCTTTTTGCCCCAGACTTCCTACTTTAATAAAGCATCTTTTGGACCTAGTCTGATGCTCAGGCTCTTCTTACTGGACATGGGCTGCCTTCCAGGCTGATGGCCCCCCAGGGCCCAGAGTTCAAATGTGGTCTCAGACACTAGCTGGTAAATCAGTTTGCCTCAGTTTCCTTATTTCTAAAGTGGGGCTCATGACAGCACCTACCTCAGGGTTGTAAAACGGCTTAGCCTGGCAAACAGTAAGGTGCTTAATAAGTGCTTATTCCATCCCTCCACCCCCCCCCACCAGGATCGGCATAGTCAGAGCTCAGGGCTTAGCTCTAGCCGGAGGGTGCTTAGAAGGTGCTAACAGTGGTGGCCTGAGCCATGGAGCCAGAGGGAGAGTGGGAGCCATCAGACTTGCCTCTGCTGTAGGGATGGAGAGCTCACTACCTTTTAAAGCAGCCCCTTCCTTCCCTTTGGTTCTGCTCCCAGGGGTGGGAAGACATTTTTTGGAGTTGCAGGCATTCCCACAGGCAGGAGCCAGGAAGGGAAGCCCTCCCGAGGCAGGGAGCCCTGTCTTTGCCTTTCCAGTCTCTAAGGCAGTTAGGGGGGCAGACACAAGTCACTTTGTTGTGGCCTGCCTCAGTTTCCTCATCTGTAAAATGGGGATAATTAGAGTATTCATCTCACAGAGTAGTTATATAGAGTGCTCGCTTCCTCCTGCTGCCTGCCCCAACTCCTGCACACCTTGTAGGGGGCCTGCTGTCCCACCCCACCTCCTCATTAGCCAAAGGGAACCCTGCCAGCACTCCAGGGACTGTGGTGATGAGAGAAGGGACATGGTGGAGACAGGAGGGGGAGGACGGGAAGGGCCCTCCAAGGGCAATCCCAGTTTTCATGGGGCCCTGAGCTTTTCACCACACTGCTGCCCACACAGCAGCAAAGGGAAGGCGGCACGGAATGGGTGGGGGTCCTCAGGAGGAGGGGGTGAGGGGCCAGAAATGAGCAGCAGGGCACCAGGCAGCGAGGGGGGAGGGAGGCACGATTAGGGGATCTGGGCCAGAAACAAGGGCAAAAAGAAATGCGTTTGGACTCAGAGAATCCTCAGTTGGACCTAGAAATGCCACCCGCCCCTGCCCCCAGTAGAGGGTAGAGCCAAGGCCACACTTGGCATCCCAGAGAGGCAGGAAGCCCAAGGAGGGTCTACTCTCCAGAGGTCAGGAGAGAGCCAGACTGAGGCTTGGTCAAGCTGAAGTGTAGAAGGCTTAGGGAGAAGGGGGCCACGGAAGGGTGCCGCAAAATTATACTGCACAAAGGGAGGGGGGAGGGAAAGACCCCGAGGCAAGAGCTGAGCCCCAAGGGGTGAGCCCCCCAGAGCAGCGGGCCAACACGGGGCTCAAATCCAGGATGGGGCCCTGGGACAAGTCAGGGCCTGAATTTCTGTATCCCACCTGAAAATGCAAGATCGCCAGGGGGCCTGACCAAACCTGGGGCTAAGAGGCCTGGCAAGGATGGAAGGCTACATCTGTCCACCTGCCCGGACTTGAGGGGTGCCCAGGGCCCAAACGAGCTGGTAACCCAGCCTGTCATGGTAGCCTAGCCGGCAGAGGGAGCAGTGAGGAGGGATGGGGGTTCAGGGGCAGGAGGGCTGGCCAGAGGCTGAGTTGGAGTCTGGGACAGCCCCCGGAAAGGAAACCCCTGGACTCACTTTCCTTCATTTCTCTTTATTTGTACTCTGCTCCCACTAACGGACAGACACCGGCCCCGACCACTTCTCTGTGGCAAGTGAGATGCCACACCTCGCTGCCAGGGCCCCTGAGAGGTGCCGATGCCTCCCCAGACTGTAGACTGACTAATTCAAGGCAGGTTCTGATGGAGAAAGAGCCTTCTGCCATCAGACCCAGCCCTGCCCGCCGGCCCTTCACCCCACGGGCAGCCTCCGCTCCATTCTGGGAGGTCACGACTCACTGCGGCCTGCCTCTGGGCCCTCTGGCTGCCCCAGCCACTGCTGCCAAGCGGGTGGGGCAGCTCGGTGGTCCTCTTCTCCCCCGCCCTCAGCCAGGGCAAGCCCTGAGCCCCCCAGGCCACTGTCATCTTCTGCTCTGTCACCGGCTGGGCAGATGCTGCCCATCTGGAGCCCTGGCTGCTGGATCCAGGGCGGGTCCCTGGGGTGGGCCAGCAGGGCAGTGGCCCACCCAAAGTTTCCAGGAGGGCTGAAGCCAGGGGCCAGCGGAGGTCTGCTCACAGCTCCCCATCTTTGTCCTGTTCTTCCAACAGTGGAGAATGCCCTTGGCTGCCATCCATCAAGGCCCGGTCCACTTCACACCTGCTTTCCTGCTTCTGACGTCTGATCTCTTTGTACCGCAGGGTGATGTCCCTAGCAGGAAGAGGCAGCAGCTCAGCCTCCAGCCAGGTGGCAGAGGGTGGGGCCCAGTGCCAGTGGGACAGGCCTCCCCCTTCCCAGGCAGGTGCTCACCGCAGGAAGAACCGCCAGACGGTCCAGGTGAGGATGAGCACGGTGCCCAGGATCCAGCACTGCGCCACATAGAAGGGCAGTGACAGGGTCAGCGTGTAGGGATCATACTTCACCACAATCAGGAACTCTGTGGCCGTGATGGCTGCCACCAGCCAGGCCTGCTGACCAAACTTCTTATGGAATGTCCTGGAACCAACAGGAACCAGTAACTCACTGCGGGGCGGGGTAGCCTCTCTCCTAAGTGCTCAGAGACCTCAGATCTCAGGAAAGCAGGGGGGGGCCAGAGAAGCCCCCCGCAGAGGGCCCACCAGCTCAGCTCTGCCAACTCCTACTCTTGTTTCTCCCAGGCCTTCAGGACCCCTTCTGAAGCTGATCACTCAGTCTGGGATGACCCACTGGGGAGCCCGCTGCATCCATCACCCGTGACTCCTCCATTCAAATGGGGGGGGGGGGCGCATACGCTGGCAATTCCCCACTCCAACTACTGTTTCCCTGGGGGGTCCTGAAAAGGGGTGGATTCTGGGATGAGACCTGGACAGACCCATTTTGGGGCTGCCACGTAGGGCTGGACAAACCGAGTGGCCACACACCTGGAGGGTGGGCAGGCAGGCTCCTTCACTTGGAGCTCCCCCGGGACCCCTGTTCTCCTCCCCTCGGTCCCCTGCCCTCCTCTCTCCCCCTCCCCTGGGTCCTCTGCTCAACTGCCCCCCTGGCCTTCTCCCTGCCCACCTCTATGGGGAGAACTCCCCACACTCGTCTCCATCCCTTTTCTCCAACAAGGGATCTACCCCCGTGGGTCTCACAGGTAGCTCCTAAGCTGGCTGGTCACCCCTCCCCACCCCTTTCAGCCCCTAAAGCTCTACCTTCTGAACTGCTTCTTCCCTCCCGGCGGGCGTCTCTGCTATCCAAGTTCCTGGGCCTCCTGTCCCCAGCTCAGGTCCACACCCTCCTCTGGCCTCAGCCCCCTCTGGGGGCCTACACCAGGGCCAGAGCCCTCCCTCTTACTCGGCCTTACAACACCCTACCACCCTTAAAACATGACTCCAATTCCTCTTCTTTCAGGATGTCTTCCCTGACTTCATTGGTGGTAATGACTGAAAATTATCTAGCCCTGTCCTAGAAGGTGAGGCCCCTGAAGGCACAGACAAAGACTAGATCCAGCTCTGGCCTCTGCACACAGTAAGTGCTTTACGAATGCTGGCTGAGAACAGAGCCCAGGTAGACCCCCTTCCCCAGACACTGGGCCCTTGCTCACTCACGGGTCATCCATGAAGTCATAGATCTCTCGCATTGCCACACCCCCAACGTTCACAAAGAAGACCAGTCGAAGCAGAACCAGGTAATGTTCTGGGGGCATCCACAGCACAAACTTCAGGTAGAAGGTATTCAGTTCTGCCAAGAGAAACTGCGAGAGGCCTGGCCTAAGAATGGTGCCCCGCCCCCCAACCCCCCCCACCCCGGACACCACCCCCTCCCATTCCCCTGCAGCTGGAGATGTGCAGGCAGAGCGAGGGACTCCAGCCTCCAGGGTGTCTTACAACCAGGATGATGCCACAGACTCCCAGCCACCGGCGCAGGCTGGAGGCTGGTTTCCATTCAAAGCGCACCCAACTATAGGGCGTGAACTGGAAGGCGATTCTCTTCATCTTGCCCCTGGAAAAACATGAAGCACAAACACCCCTAGACTGTGAGAGCTGCCTTCCACGCAGAAGCCTTCACAGACTGGCCTCCCGGGGCTGCAGAGATGGTTGCTCTCTCTGTAAGAGGCAGAGAAGCTGGGGGAGCCAGAGCTTTAACTATGGGGGGGAGGGGGAGACAGTGCAAGGCAGTTCCTGAGACTCCTGAGCACACAGAAGGTTATTTCATCCTTCCAGAAATGATGAGTAGTCACCTGCAGTTATAGTGATGGTCAGAGTCCGGGGGCTTTTTCACAGCCAAAACACTGTAATTATTTACATATTTTTGTTATTACTTACCTTGTCAATACAACTATACAGACAGAAACTGTGAAGTTTACTTACGCCTAAGAAATTAAGAGGTTTCGATATACAGATACAAGCAACTGCTCATAATAGTTAAGAAACTGGGTTTGGGGCTCAGAGCTGAAGTAACGGATAAGAGAGATTCTGTAATTTTAGTAATTCATAAGGAGATATACAGACACACCCAGGATTCGCCTAGAATTTAGGGTGGTGAGAATAAACATGGCAACGCTTCTGAACAGTTCTTCTGATCTAAATGTCTACTTTTGACTAGCATCAGATAATTTTTATGATTCCTGCTTTAGAGTATAAGATCTGGAAATTCTATTCTCCTTTTATTCTTACTTCTGAAATTATCTTCCTTGAGATTGCAGACTTCCATTTGGTTCATCCCAATGAATCATGTTATTATCCCCTCCAGTTTGACTGGCTTAACAATTAATCTGTAAACTAATTTGGGAATGACAGACATTTTTCTTACACTGGCACAGTTCACCCAGGCACGAGCCATTCTGTTGTTGCTTCATTTAAGCATTATTTTGCAATTGTTGTCCATATCTATATACACATGTACACTGAAACAGACTATACATACATATATACATACACAGACTATTTTCTCTCACACACACACACACACACACACACACACACACTCTCTCTCTCTCTCTCTCTCTCTCTCTCTCTCTCTCTCTCTCTCTCTCTCTCGTATCTATAAATCTTTTTTTAGTTAACTTTCTGCCGCGGGCGTTCGGCTGTCCACAGCCTCCTCTCAGTTTGGCCGTGGCATGGAGGATGAAACAATGTCCTTTTGGTCTCCTGTTTTGTGGTGGTGATGGTGGCGGCAGCAGCCATCATTCCCAGGTGGACCCCCTCTTGGCATCTTCTCTTTGCAAACTTTGCTGCTTGAGTCTTGAGGTTCGGGGGGCTTCTGCTGTCCTTGGAGCTCTGTAGCTCAGGGTGAGGAGGGGGTGGGGCCTTGGGTGACTGAGGAAGGGTAGTAGTAGTGGCAGTAGTGGTGGCGGTGGTACTATCGCTGCTACTCTTCCTTTTTCAGGGGGAAGAGGAGGTGCTACCACCTCACCCTTTGGGGCTGCTCTCTCTGCTTTTCCGACCTCAGCTTTTTCCAGGCTTGAGTCCTTTCCCACTCTTCTCCCCACGGGCGAGACAAGCAGAGACTTTGCCACTTCCTTCACCGGGATGCTGACAGTTTCCTGGGTCTTCCGCTTTTTGACAGGTGGCACAGTCTCGTGAATGGACCTGACAGAAGACTCTCTGATTACTTCTTGGCTTCGACGGCAGCTGTAGCCACCACACTCCCTGGCTTATGGCCCCATTTTTTTAGGGATGACCTGTGGCTTGCTCTCAACTTTCCGCTTCCTTTTGGAAGTATGCTATCGGTCCTACCTTGGAGTGAAAAGCTTTTCCCTGTGCACTGATCAAATAGACATCATACTTCCCGGCGGAGCAGCCTGGTTTCCTCTTCTTGGGTTTTCTTGTCCAGCCCAGTGGCAGTGTGGGATCATCACACGTGGGCCCCTCGTCTCGGATGACAGAATGCCCCTGCTTAGGGGAAGCTGAAGCTTCAGGTGCAGCAGGGGCTGACCCTGCGTCTTCTGATGTTTCTGCTTTTCCTGTCTCTGCTCGCTCAGCAGAGACTGGCGTGATGATGGCTGTGGGAATTCATGGTTTCCTTCTTTCTCCTTTCATCCTCCTCAACTTTCTGAACTTTTGGTGTTTATCTCTGAGGCCCTGGAGGGCTGGGTCTTCAGACAGTTCTCTCATTGTTCATGCCCCAAAATGCATGTCTCACTTTGCACCTAGAGCTCAGCACCCCTGTCAAGGGGTGGGTGGCACGTTTCATCGTGAGTCCTCTGGAACTCTGGTTGGTCACCATGTCCCCACATCCCAGCCACCATGGAACACTGCTGGAGCTGGCCTACCGAAGCAAGATGTGTTCGGGGGAGTCACACACGGACCTGACGATTCTGTACTTTTATGGAGCAGTCTGCCCTCACCCTCCACTCCGTGTGGTGGCAGTAGCCATTTCCCCAGTATCTATAAATCCTGAGTATGACTTGGTAGCTTCATTCGCAGATATTTTATGCAATTTGTAGTCATTTTAAATGGGTCTTCCCCTTTATCACTTTCTCCTGTTTTATTATCACTCTGCTATTAATGGACTTGATGCAATTTTTATTTCCTTTTTTTATCTTCTAGGCAAACCAACCCATTGGGCGTGCACAGGCATAGTTTTGTCTCCTCTCTGCAGATTTTTACCCTCTGATATTCCCAATGTTTTCCTGCTGTTGCTATAGTACTGGGGGTAAGGGAACCACTGCTTTATTCCTGTGCTAACTGGGAAATCTTTTAGAGTATTTTAGAGCACTTAATGCTAGCTTTTGGTTTTAGATACTTCCCCTCCCCCCTTAACATTTTATTTTTTCCAATTACACGTAAAGATAGTTTTCAACATTCACTTTTATAAGATTTTGAATTCCAAATTCATCTCCCTCTCTTCCCTTTCAAGACAGCAAGCTGTGTGGTACAGGTTATACATGTACAATTGTGTTAAATACATTTCCACATTAGTCATGTTGTGGAAGAAAAATCTGACTAAAAGTGAAAAAACACAAGAAAGAAAAAACAAAAATCAACAAAAAAGGGAAAATAGTGTGCTTTGACCTGCATTCAGACTCCACAGTTCTTTCTCTGAATGTGGATAACATTTTCTATCATGAGTCCTTTGGAATTGTCTTGGACTGCTGTATTGCTGAGAAGAGCTAAGTCTATCACAGTTGATCTTATACGTGGCCGTTAACTGTGTACAACGTTCTCCTGGTTCTGCTCACTTCACTCAGCATCAGTTCATGTCTTTCTAGGTTCGTTCGTTTTTTTTTTTTTTAAATCTGCCAGCTCATCATTTCTTATGGAACAATATTCCGTTACATTCATGTACCATAACTTGTTCAGCCACTCCCCAATGGATGGGCATTCCCTCAATTTCCAATTCTTGGCCACTACAGAAAGAACTTCTATATTTTTGTACATGTGGGTGCTTTTCCTTTTTATGATGTTTGAGACACAGACCTATCAATGGTATTGCTGAATCAAAGGGTTATAGCCCTTTGGGCATAGTTCCAAATTGCTTGCCAGAATGGTTGGATCAATTTACAACTCCACTGATGACAACGCATTAGCGTTCCTATTTTCCCATATCTTCTCCAACATTTGTCAATTTTCCTTTTCTATCATATTAGCCAATCTGATAAGTGTGAGGTGGTGCGTCAGAACTGTTTTAATTTGCATTTCTCTAATCGATCGTGATTTAGAGCATTTTTTCATATGATTACAGATAGCTTTGATTTCATTGTCTGAAAACTGCCTGCTCATATCCTTTGATCATTTATCAACTGGGGAATGACTTGTATTCTTATAAATTTGACTCAGCTTCCTTAAAATAATAAATAGCATCTATCTAAAACCTTCAGCAAGCATTATATGTAATGGGGACAGGCTAGAAGCATTTCCAATAAGATCGGGGATGAATGTCCATTATCACCACTGTTATTCAATATTGTACTGGAAACCTTAGCTTTAGCAATAAGAGAAGAAAAAGAAATTGAAGGCATTAGAACAGGCAAAGAAGAAACAAAGCTATCACTCTTTGCAGATGACATGATGATATACTTAGAGAATCCTAGAGAATCAAGTAAAAAACTACTTGAAATAATAAACAACTTTAGCAAAGTTGCAGGCTATAAAATAAACCCACATAAATCATCAGCATTTCTATATATTACCAACAAAGCCCAACAGCAAGAGATAGAAAGAGAAATCCCATTTAAACTTACTGTAGACATTATAAAATATTTAGGAGTCTACCTCCCGAAACAAACCCAGGAACTCTATGAACACAATTACAAAACACTTTTCACACAAATAAAATCAGATCTAAATAATTGGAAAAACATCAGTTGCTCATGGGTAGGCCGAGCTAATATAATAAAAATGACAATCCTACCTAAGCTAATTTACTTATTCAGTGCCATACCAATCAAACTACCAAAAATTATTTTATAGAGTTAGAAAAAATAATAACAAGATTCATTTGGAAAAACAAAAGGTCCAAAATATCAAAGGAACTAATGAAAAGAAATGCAGGGGAAGGTGGCCTAGCAATTCCAGATCTTAAATTGTATTATAAAGCAGCAATCATCAAAACTGCTTGGTACTGGCTAAGAAATGGGAGGTGGATCAGTGGAATAGGTTAAATATGCAAGACACAGTAGTCAATGACTATAGTAATCTATTATTTGATAAACCCAAAGACCCCAGCTTCTGGGATAAGAACCCACTCTTTGAAAAAAACTGCTGGGAAAACTGGAAAAGAGTATGGCAGAAACTAGGCATAGACCCAAATCTCACACCATATACCAAAATAAAGTCAAAATGGGTTCAGACTTAGATATAAAGGCTGATACATAAGTAAACTGGGAGAACAAGGAATAGTTTACCTATCAGATCTATGGAGAACAGAAGAATTCATGACCAAACAGGAGATAGAGAACATTATGAAAAGCAAAATGGATAATTTTGATTACATTAAATTGAAAAGTTTTTGCACAAACAAAGCCAATGCAACTAAGATTAGAAGGAAGGTAGAAAATT